CTGGAGGAAACTTTGCCTGGGTTGGAGCATCTTCGTCCGTCTTCACTCTGGTTTTTATCGCCATTGAGCGCTATTATGCAATAATATATCCATATGATGGAAAGAAAAAGCTTACCAATACCAAACTTAAGGTAACAGATTTGTCTGGAGAAGTCCTTGTTAATTAATTTCTGTAAAATCAAGCTGACTCGAAAAAAAAAACAACTAATCAGCATGAGGGAAACAATAGCCCCGAGAGAATCACTCAATTAGAGTGCGCTTTGCATTAAATACGAACACCAGTTGTGGAAAGTTTTCATCATACATCTATGATCCCACGACAAACGCTCACAATGTATCATAATTTATATACGTTTTGACTTCCGTCTAAGAAGAAAGTGGGCTGAAAATTGATTATCTTCGAACCATTGGTCGTCATAAACAGACCAAAGACCTTCTTCTTTATTTTTTTCTGTTCTAGGTAATTATTCCTTTCTGTTGGATTCTTGCATTTTCCTTGAATGTACCAATTTTCTTGGTCATGAACTTCAAGAACACCTTAGGTGACTGCGAGGAGGACTGGCCACAGGAGTGGATGGGCAAAGCCAACAGCATGATGTGGTTGGTGACTATGACCTTTCTTCCCATGACACTGATGACTGCGGCTTATTCCAGAATCGTGTGCACACTGTGGTTCACACAAATTGATGATGATCAACTTTCACATCGACAGAAGGTGAGAAGTTCTTGCAAATTAAACGCAAAACTTTTGTAGTCCTTGGCCCGACTTTAAAAGGTGCGATTTTTTGATTTGAGACATTACAGAGCTCTTGTATCCACCACCAGCCACCACCAGGTACATCAAATCCCGAAGTGTTTTCACCGTTGAAAGCATTTAAACAACTTCTTGATGTTTTAGCGTTAAGTTGTGATGGAATGAGAACACTACATATGATTTCAAGTTTCTCTATAACAATTCAACTCGAACCGACAGTCGTCGAAAAAAAAAAAACGCCTGTAACGCGAATTAAGGGGGTAATTTGGTATTATAAACTGAGATGACACGTAAAGAGTTTCAAAGCCGTTTTGAGCGTTAGTCCTTCGTCAGCGCGGGCTTACGCTAGAAACTTCAGCTTTTGAGCTCTGAACTGACACGTGTATAATTACGATAACTTTTTTACTGACGTACCTTTAAAATTTTCCAATCAGTTACTGAGGCATCACTCGCATTTTGCGCCATTCTGTCAGGCCGGTTGATGAATAAATGGTAAAGCTTTCATCAGTTCTCGATCCAATGTCTTTTGTCAAATGTTCTTGTCAGTAAAGGCGTATGGTATTTATATGATAAACAAAATAATACTTGGTTGCTTGAAGATAAGGTATTTCTCTCCACGGGTATCTCTCCAGTTCGCTACGTTCACTCGTGAGATATCAAGTTGAACACTGGAAGAGAAATTCCATTTCAACGTGCGCCCATGTATTACTCGCTTTATAGCAAGTACCTTACTGAGGTTCTCGATCTCCTCACATAGGCTGTGATCAAGTCGAGGAAGCGGGTCACCGCGATGGTAATAACTGTCAGCATCATATTTGGAATCTGTTGGTTTACGGACTCGACCTTTTATTTCTTGCATTTTATCAACTCTCCTTACAGTGATGTCGTTTTTGCTATAACTACCATACTGATCCTATTCAATTCCTCTGTCAACCCGTTTGTGTACGCCCTGGTTAACCAAAGATTCCGCCAAAAGATCA